CAAAATAGGAGAACGATGATTTTATTTTAGTTTTATCAATAAAGTTAAATGATTGAATATACAAGGATGTTTAAGTGATGATGAGAGTATTTAATCACTTGGGATGGAGGAAAAAAAGATTGTAATATAAATATAGAAATCTTTCAAAAATTTTATGATTTGAATTTATGATTAAGATGATATATAATCAAATTTGATATCAATACCTATTCAATTTAAACCATATAAAATGTCAATAAATAATTAGAACTAGATACTTTTAATAGAGATCTAATAACTGTTTAATTTTAAACTCATTAAATTTAATTTTTATATTCGATATCTTTATTATTTATTCATAAATTATGTATCGTTTCTATACATTTAAAATCAAAAAAAAAAGTTAGAAAAGAATAAAATACAAAAGTAATTGAATTAGATTCCTTAGAAAAATAATTCAAAAAAAAAAATATTCTAAAGATATATATTTATTCAGGTACTCAAGATATGTTGTTAGCAGAATAGTTTTAGAAAACAATTAATAATTAATAATATAAGGCCATGATATTGAATCTAAAAATTACTAATAGCTTTGGAGGAAACTCTTCTTGCAAATGAAATTCTATTAAATTATAATTTTTATATTTTGAGTATTTTGATTTTCCTTATGGTAATTGAAATCTTTTTATAAGTTATTTCTAAACACATAAAAATAATCTATTTTTTAATTATGATTCTGCTTTCACTTTTGATCATCTTAACTTTTAATTGTTAATGTCTATTATAATTAATTATTATAGATTATTGAGGATTTTAAGAATAAAGTTAAAAATTAAATTTTAATAAGTGAACAAAATTGAATATAGGATATCTATCATCTAAATCAAATACCCTATATTGAATAATCTATTTACAATTAGATGCCAGATGGAAAAATAGAGTTCAGTTCAAGAATTAATAATTTAATAGCGATGATTAATTCAATCTAAATTCCATTTTATCAATACCTTTTATAAAATTTGCTTGAATTAATAAATGAGGTCATTATCTAATTGAAAAAATCTTAATCTGACTATTAAATGGAATTAACAAAAATAAATAGTTGTATACTATTTCTATCATTCTTTTAGATGAGCAAATATGTTTTTGAGAATAGTAATATACTCATGTTCACATTTATGGCTGAATTTTTCAATTTAATAGTTGATCGAAAACAATAGAAATTAATAAAAAAAATTAAAGCTTAAATATAACCTAATATATAATTGTCAGTATAAAACGATGTGATCTTGTATATTACTTTATTTATGAAATTTACAATTTAAGTAGACAGTTAACTATTTTTCAAAATTCAAAAGATAAAAATTAAATATCCTTATACTCAAGTTTCTACTAATCTAACAAATCTTAACTCAAACCCTTTATAATTCATAATCATTTATTTAATCTTTTGTCTTTATACAAATTATTTTAACAAGTACACTTAATAAATTCATTATCTCTTGAAAAAAAACTTTACTATGAGAATTTGTCTGATAATTTGACCGACTAATGCGAAATATTAATCTCAAAATTTTTATTTATTGAAGCTAACCATAATTAAACCCTTCTTCGCTAATACTTC